AAAATAAAAAAAAAAAAAAAAAAAAGGAACAAAATCAATCAGTAACAGAAACTAATGATAAAAACAAAACAAATCTAAACAAACATCTTTTTGTTTAATTTTTTTACTTCATCTTATTATTGATGTATATGTAGAGGTATTCATGGAGCGCTTCTATTTTCTATCTAAACTATGTGTTTGTGTATTTTTACAGTTGTCCCCTTTCATAACATACACAGTAACTCATTTTTAAAGTGGGGTTTAAAGAAACCAATACATGCTTAAAATAAGCACGTACATTCTGCTCTCCTGTAATAAATAGTATTTGTGAGTACAATTCGCTGTATTAAATGTTAAGCTCAATACTTCCACAATCAATTTCGCTTTCTGCTAGCCTCTTTTAGAAGGGCAAGTCAAGAGATTTACTAATCTTATTTGCCCTTGCAGTATCGCACTCTCACATCAGACGGGTACATTCGCGTACTTTCAAAAATGAATGCATACTAGGATAAATACTCGATAAAGAAATGAGCATTGCAAGTGTGTTAGCCTGTCACGTCTTCGAGTTACGCAGGTCAGAGGGTCGGACAACGACATGTTTATTGAATAAGGAGCACTTTAAAACGACTACCTAATAATGACTCACTTACGGGATATAACTCTGGTTATTAAATTAATCGGGAAAACAGCTTTTTAAGATTTCCTCCTTCAGGGTTGTTAAGGTTAGCCTGTCTGCACGCTGACTGCGGTCACCGGCCCATCAAACTGTCATTCTCCAGGTCAACTAGTATTAAACAGCACACCGATCTAAAAACGCAACCATTTAGGGCGAGTTTATATGAAAATAACTGCTTTCTTACCGCTAATGTTCACTGCAGCTTTACCAAACCGGTACATGTTGCCTAGCTTGATGTCTTCAGATACCCTTGAAGCACAGAAGTGTAATATGGCCGCCGCACGTAAACAAAGCGGAAGTTATGCTGCGTTCATGTTCAATAGTAAAATAGTCCCCGCCACTGTACTTGAGTAAGTCATTCAACCTTCCATAAAAAGGCTCTGGTCTCCGCTAGCAAATGAGCTGTTCTCGTGACGATGTTTTTCAATTTTCACATCAACCTACTATATTAAAAACCTGTGGAATTAATGCTGATGCTTAGTTATGTCAAATTAAACGGATATCCGCTAAAGATAATATAAATGACTTCATATTTATCCCACTCTTCTAAATTCCCTGAACGCAGCATCATCACGAGTCTTAAAACGAGCATGCGCAGATAAAGTCTGAACATTAAAAGTGAATACAGAAGATAAATACGCACTTTAAGCTGAGATAAAGTTGTAAAATACGCTCACATAACTGGCAGTTGCTTTTGTTAAGAAATATAACGACATATATTACAATCAAATCAAATCATAGGCTACACAGTGTTAGGGTTAAGAGCCCTACTAACAACATCGTTGAGCACCGTGTCAGGATGGCCGAGTGGTCTAAGGCGCCAGACTCAAGGATAATCTCCTTCCGCAGAGACGGGACTTCTGGTCTCCGAATGGAGGCGTGGGTTCGAATCCCACTTCTGACACATAACTTTTTTTTGGTTAAAATCGATGATACAAAATGATTAGGGTAGGCTGAGTAGGTTATTAGTTAATTTCTACAAATTAGTTTAGAACTAATTAACAAGTTTACCAGCTCAAACATTTATGCTAATGTTCTGAGCTTTCTGCACAAGTACTCACTGCATTTTGTAGGAATCCTGTGTTTGTCAGGCACAATCCAGGACTTTTTAAAATCAGAGTGCTTTTCAGATGTAAATGAAGTGTAGAAAACTGTTGCAGAAAACACTGATCCACGTAGATTTTCCTGTACAACTATTACAGAGAATGGTCCAGAAACAGAGAAACTACCCAGTGAGTTCTCAGGGTGAAAATATCTTGTTGATGTAAGAGGTCAGATGAGAATAGCCAGGTTCCTATGAGCTGATAGGAAGGTAACAGAAACTCAAATTCAAAGTGTTTATTGTCAGTACAGAAGAAATAGCATTCTCTGTGCAATGACACTCTTCCTTTGCTGTCCATTCACAAATGCCAAGTTAGGTAAGGGGTAAAAGAACAAAAATAAAATAAAATAAAATAAAATAAATAAAAAGATAAAATACGGATAAAAATAATAATAAAAAAGATAAATAATTACAAATAAGTAAGCAAAGAAAAGTGTGGTATGCAGATGTTGATGTAGATGGATGTACAAAGGAGCTTAATGTGCAAAGCGACCTGATGTGCAAAATTGCAGTTGAGGTAGGTCAGCTGTTCAGGAGTCTGATAGCAGTGGGGGAAAAGGAGTTGAGTTGGGATGTTCTAGATTTCACACTTCTGAACCTTCATCTCGAGGGCAGTCCATAGCAGTAGTGCTGCTGTTCTTCCTCATGTCCACTATTATCTCCTTTGTCTTATCAGTGTTGAAGGCAAGGTTGTTGTCTTCACACCATGACACGACTCGTTATAACCGCGGTATGCAGAAGAGCATCTCTGAGCACACAACACACTGAAACTTAAACCAGATGGGCTACATCAGGAAAAGACCACACTGGGTGCCACTCCTGTCAGAAGAGCTTGGTAGGGTCGGAATTGGGCATAAACATAAAGGCATGTAAACATGTTCAATAAAATCTAAATATAGATATAGAAAGACACAAGACAGTCAAGTCTTCATATTGTAGTTTTTTTAATTAAATCAAAACATCATTTCAGGATTATAACAGTATGACTGTATGATGAATAATATATATACGCATACCAGGAATGTCAACATATTGGATGTTTTGTTTGTTTTAAATGGAAGTTACATAGAAGAAAACATTTTTCTACAGTCAGAAACAACTCCTGAGTTACAAATGAACTCACGTCTGAAGGCTTGAAAACGCTTCAAAGTTTAGCTGTTACGTCCATGACAGCTGATCTGAGGGTTGGTTTTGGTCTCTCTGTCATCATGGATTTAGTGTTAAAATCAAGGTAAACAGAATAAATGGGGGGGAAAAAATTTCCAAATGTTTGTTCGTTTAAAGGAGCACCACGGTGACCGCACTTACCATTACGCATTTTTTCTAATTCATTTACTGACAAGGTTTTTACATGTCTACTGCTTTTACAGGTCAAAAAGCAAATTGAGAATGAAAAGAGCAGCAAATCCTTTGTCTGGGATGTTGAATCCAGATGCTAAAATGCTTAACTGCTGTTCTGTGGTAAGATCGCAGGAGACAGCAGAGGGAGAGAGAAGATGGCCTTTCCATGCAGAGGAAACACATCAACCTGCACTGTCACAGTAGTATTATAAAGCTACTTTCAGCTGTTCCCTCCTGAGAGATACCCTTAAAGAACCCCAAAGGGATCTGTGTCTCTTCCTGGAGTCAAACCAGGGATCTTTCACTTGTTAATAGTGACTATGGAGCCATTGATATAAGATCAATCAAATATGTTAAAGGTTCCCACCAAATCCCCTCAAAATCAGCTCATTTTTGGGACAGATTTAGTGTATTTACTTATGCCATGCAAAATTTGACCTTTATACTTGGAATATTTTTTTCCAGCTACAGGAACTGTTAGGAGTAAACCGAAGGGTAGGGATAACAGACCTATGGTACATCATCATCCTCTTACAGTTTGAACATGCATGCAGGTACAAATCTTCAGAGATCATCAGTACAACAGGCCTGATGTGAAAGTTAGATGTAGTTTGTAAGGAAAATGTACTTACTCTTATAATTAAAGTGACAATGGACGAGTTTTAGATTTAACTTATCATGTTAGGAACTGCACAATGTAGCGGCTACAGAACAATGACACCAGCAGTGTTTAGACTACCTCCTTTAAGGCCTTGATTTAATGACGCAAGTCTGTGTCAAGGGCAGTGTATTATTATTTCCTGTGATTTATGTCATCTTACAGCAATGGATTTTCTTATCACACAGGCCCAAAGACTCAAATGTACAACTAACCCCTGTGAGCCAAAGGTTCAGACTTTACACTGCTCAGTTTCAGACAGTTTTTTCTACTTTTGGGTCTCTGTGAGGTCACAGAGAGGGGATGTCAGCAATATGGTTATCTCAGGCACAGAACTCTGCCTGGTGTTTCTGATGGGCAGCCAATCATAACCAAAAATCGCTTCCCTACAGCGAAACCTGGCAACCATCAAAATGAGCTGATCACCTTTTTCAGCACCACATAACTACCAGGAGCTCAACAAAACGCTGGGATTGGTTGGTGGATCAGTGTTTGAGAGATTATAGTAACAGCTCTAAACAATTAAAGAACTCTACATTAGAAAGCTGCATTTCTAACCGTTAATGCCTTCAGACGAGATTAATAAAGATAAACTGAATTCAGTCATTGTATACAAGCCGAGATTGGTCCAAAAGTAGTGGTAGATGGACAGAAGGTGGAGGAGTTTTCCAGCGACCCTATTAGGGTTATCAAATTACCAATATACATTAAGGCATCTTGTTCCCCTTGTGGTCACGGTTCATGTTTTAGTTCGCCTTCTTGTTTTTTCCTTCCTCGTCATCGGTGTACTCGGTCGGCTCCTCTCCTGGCTTCAGAAGCTTGCCGATGTAGTCGTACTTCACTGAAACGTAGAAGAAAAATCTAATTTAAAAAAAGAAAAAGAAAAAAGACCCGAAGGGAAAACAGCCAAGGTCTGCACGTTGCGATCTGCAGCTGTCTCACTTTATTAATGTGACCTCACACCAAGGCCACCTGCGTGAGGTGGCCATGAAACTCATCCAGAGCTGCCTCAAGTTACTCTTTTTCTCATTTTCTTATGAAAATCAAACATTTTATCACTGAAATTTTGTTTAAGCTCATACAAGCAGTGACATTCTCTGATCGCTCTCTCTCTGTGCTTCTGGGCTGTTTCAGGAAAAAGCCCTGAACACATAAATGGCAGAGATGGCCAAAATCTCTTCCTTTTTCACCTCCACGGTTCCAACGGGTTTTTGCAAATTTGCACTATGAGCATGATGGGAAACAATCTTAAAGCAATCCAGTTGTAATCTGATATCCTTTTAATCTGATAACAGGCTACTGACAGTGAGGAAAATAAATATTTGTGGCTAAAGGGTAAAGGGAGATAATGGATTAAGAGCTGGCAAATCAAACTGCCCGACATACTTGTTGACTGAAACCCTGGTTGATCTAAGTACAGGCTTTATTTTACTATAAATGCTTAGTAAATTATAAAATACACAAGAATTGTAAAACATTTTTAAATTTTTTTCTGTGGCATTTTTGGACCCTAATAACCTGACAGTGTGCTTTATCTTCCACTCACTGGTGAACTGAGACTCCCAATCAGAAAGGCTCTCCTTTTGCATGGAGTTCAGGTCCGACAGGTCATCGTGTTCATCTTTCAGGCCCTCCTTATCCAGGCAGAAGGTTGCCAGACCTCTGGATGCATCTCTGCCTGCAAACACTCCGTACGGTCCATCTGCAAGGTGAGGAAGACATACGATCAGATGATCGTGCATGGGAAAATATCTTGAATATTTGTCTTTAAACCACAGAGCGCGCTGAGGAAAAATCTGACGTTAAAGAAAGGTTATTTCAAATACAGATAATGATACATTTTCCCCAAAACCCCCCCAAAGATGTGGTTCATATCATTGAGGGTGTTTAAAACTCCTAACGAATGCTGTCTTATCCCAGAGTATACTGAACTAGGTGAGTAACCACCTGCCTCAGTTTGGATTTATTTAAAAGATATAACAAAAAGATCAGCATATAGAGTTAATCAGCCTTATTTGCCCCCCCCCCCAACAGCAAACAACAGCCAGTCCTAAGGTTTTCCTCGAGAGCTGCCAAAGCTTTTTCAACTTGAGGGCAAGTTTTAATATAAATGATCCAAACTCCTGAAATGAGACAAACCGTGGAATTTAGGCTACAGGGCAGGGTGTGGAATGCACTAAGAAAATCTGCGTGACAGATGACTATCATG